TGATGAGGATGTAACCTACGAGGAGGGTCCAGTCCAGATTCTTGATTCACGGGAGCAAGTTTTGCGGACCAAGACTATTCTATTGGTTAAGGTCTTGTGAAGACATCATGGCGTTAAGGAGGCTACCTGGGAGCTCGAACAGGAGGTTCGCTCTCGGTATCCCCATTTGTTCTCTCTTTCAGGTACGACTCGATTTCGGGGACGAAATCCTTTTAAGGAGGATAGGTTGTAATGACTCGGTCTTTTTCCTCCTTTTCCTTTTTCAGCAATTTTCTTTTTCGTATTTTTCCTATTTTGTCTTTTCCCTTTTTCGTCTTTTTCCCGTTTTTCATTTTTCCTTGCATAACCTCACTTATTGTGCTCGGATTTGATTCCGGTTTTGCATAAATTCATGATACTTGGTTTCCAAGACATTTGTGTTTTTACTTTTGCAGAAAATGCATTCTAGTTGCTCGCTTTTTCATAAAGGGCATGGATGCATACCTTATTGTAATTATTCATTATTTTTGGAGTTTTTGTGTAATTACATAAAGTAATTATTTTTTTGCCTTAGGGACCTTTTTGTAATTTAATTTGTAAGATATTTTGAAAAAGGACCATTTTGTAATTTTTGAAAAATGTGACAAGTGTCACATACTCATGGTGCCACTTGTTGGCAATGGGGTGGAGTGACTTGCATGTGTAATCTCTTGACATTTGGAGGGTGGAGATTCACCCACTTGTTGGCCTAGGATTGGTGCACTTGTTGGCTTAGATGGTTGATAAGTGTAGGCTTAAGATTGAGCCTAGGAAGGAGCCATGGATTTGTGACAAATGTAGGCACCAAAATAAGTCTTGCATTGTGTGTGAGAGAGAGGTAGTGTAAGAACACATAGTGAGTGGATGATTTCTAGCCCTTCCACTCACCATTTCACACCTTATCTTTTTCATTTCACTTGTTTTCTCAAAACACTAACCTAGCCACCATTGGAGAAAAGCTTGGTTCATAGCTTTGACTTCATTTTTGGCTTCCTTCCACTCACCTTAGATCAAAGACCTTGGAACACAAAAGTTTCCCCTCATTCTCCTCTTCATTAACCCTAAACTTGTTTTACATTTTGAGCTTGGTTGCTTGGATTATAGAGATTCAATTCTCTATTGAGGTAAGGGTGGTAGTATGTTTATATTTTGAGTGTTTTAAGTCCTTTGGGGTTTAATATATATTGTATACATGCTTTTAATATGATAGTCTTGCATATTGTAGGAAACCCTCACTTGTTGACTTAGGGTTTATTGAATTAAGCATGTATAATTTGTATATACCATATGTAGAAAGGTTGTATGATTTAGTAGTGTGCTAAATTCTAGTGTTTTCACATGTGGTAGTAATATAGGACTCTTGTAGAATTATAAATGCCATATGCAATTTCTATTGATTTAAATTGTTATCTTATGGTGGTGATAATTCTATATGCTTGTCAAGGACTTATTGTGTTTATTTTATAAGCTTGTTGCTAAATTGTTGATGATTAGTAGATAAAATTTATTGTTGAGGCATGATCTAAATTGATAAGTAGTGATATTGTTTTATACATTATATCATGATGAATACTTGTCATTTATTATGCCATTTTAGATTTGGAACCCTAAGGCATGGTTTGTGTGATTTCAAAATACGTGTGCATGGAAGGTAGTTTATATGCCTTAATTGTAGTGTTTGAGTTTTGAACTTGTTGTGATTTTGGATTATCTTGGGACATTGTTAAAGTGACATGGCTAAAGTTTGGCTTTAGTGCGGGAGGTATGAGTTCTCCCCAATTGAGATAGTGTGCACTAGGGTAGTCTTCCCAGCGGGTTAATGCCCGGAATAACCATTTTGATCTTGGTTTAGTCCGAGATATGATGTCCAAGTATTCCACTAGTTGATTTTGCATTAAATTCCAAGTTGACAACCAATACTTAATTGTAACTTGTGATTTTGTTATTGGCGAATTGATGTTGTTAAGTACATTGATATTGATATGTGTAGCTAAGGAATATTTAAGTTAGCTTAAGATGATCCCTTAGAACACCTTAAACATAGACGTTAAGTAGAATGCTTCTTCCTACGAGTAACTTGATTACTCACCCTAGTGGTTTGGATTATTTTTCAGGTAAGGAGACTATGTTCTTGGATGCTCATCATCCTTAGAGGCTAATGAGCAATTTGGAACATTTTTGTATTTTGACATGCAAGTGTTTAGCATGCTTCACTTTCGGATATTCTATTTTTGCATACCATGGATGTATGGTATTTTGGGGGCTAATGTAGCTACCTTAATGTGTAATGATACATAAGTACTTATTTTTTATATTAGAAGCATCTATGTATGGAGGCCAAGGGCTAAGCAAGTTTAAATTAGTACTTGTATCTATTTGGTGCCAACTTTTGTTTCAAAAATGTATTTAAACCATCTTGGAGGTTTGCCACATAAAATTCTTGTAATTGACATGTTCATATGTTCAATCTTCCCTAAAATGAAACAAATTTTGATCTATGCATGTGGGTAGAATGAATCCCATAGGTTCCATTGCAATTCCATATGTTTGGAGGAGCATTCAGCAGCGTTTCAAGGAGTTTCGGTCGACCGAAACTCTATTTCGGTCGACCGATGCCTCAAACCGGTCTACCGAATCAACCAAGCCTTAAAACCATATTTTCATAAAGTAGTCTATGAGTTTTGGTTGACCGAAACTCACCCTACTTCTATTTTGGTCGACCGAAATAGCCCTCATTTGCGCAGCTCTTCAGTTCAGTTTCAGCACTGATGGTCCAACTTCGAAAGGCCATAACTTATTCGTTTCTAATCCAAATGGGGTGACTCTTGAGCCTAAACTCAAGGATTTTGAGTCAGCTTTCCAATTGTACCTATTCCATTCTCAGATTCCAAATACAGTGACAGATATTCATGTTTTAGTGGAATAGTGTCAGTTTTCACTTCAACCGGGAGAGGGCATTTTGTGGAATTCTTAACCAATGTTCTTAAAACCTCTTGGGATGTCTTGAAATGATTAGAATAGGTTTTATTAACCTTTTTTTGACTTGTTTAGAGTCAAGTCTCTCACTTTATTTGTGAATTGACCGTTTTGCCCCTTTGATAACGAATTTTGTCATTTTTGACATTTGTTCCCGCTTTTGCTCTCTTTAAGTCCCGTGATCTCATAAAAAGTCACATTTGTGTCTTAGGAGAAATTCTTATCTCTTAAGACCTTGGTTTATCATTTGCTTCCGCATTTCGGATCCGTTATCGGATTAACTTTCAGTTCATCACTGACGCACCGGGTCGAAAAACTTGGGCCGTCACAATGTATGCTAGAATAAATGTTCATGTGTTTATCTCTATATTTTGTGACATTGATGCATGTCTATGTGTGTTGATTTTATGAATCTAGTGATGGTCAAGGCATAGTGCTTCAATGGATTACTCTTGTGGTATATTTGATGGTTCATACTTATTTTTTGATGGATTATGCCACCTCCTTAGTTTAATTAGTTTACTTTTCATGTCACTAGCATAGTTGTAGTGTAATTGCCTTACTTTCTTGAATAGGTGGACAATCCATTCTTATTGTTTGATGTTCCATGCTTATAAATGCAAGTGGTATATTTCTCTAATTATCGAGTGTGCATTAATTATGGGCTTATGGAAAGATTGATGGCTTAATTTGATATGTTGTGCTATTCACTAGATTGACTAAACAATATATGCTTACTTGGTCATCCATGTTTATTATTTCAATTAATGGCACACACTTTCATTTACAACACATAATCCCCCTAATCTATTAAATATTTAATGTCTATGAAGGCAATGCTTGGTGGTGAACTCTATGTCCCAAGACTCTTCTTTCATTCTTTATATCTCATTTACTTAGTTGCTTTCATCGCATTACTTTAGTTTAAATTGTAGTATAATTCAACCAACAAACCCTCATTTGATCATTCGACCTACTAATCCAACATTGATTCCAAAACACGTTTCCTTTCCCTTGGGACGATCCCTACTCACTCTTGCTATATTAATAGTAGTAGTGGTAGTGGCATTATATAAATTTAAACTTGGCCACACTTCACTCTACCACATTTTTGTGCAACTCAGTCCGAGCGACTACCAATGCCAAGGTTTGTTGACTCGAGGGTTGGACTTTCGAGATTTGGTGACCTAATGAGATGTCAAGGTTTCGATGACTCGAGAGTTTCCCTCTCAAGGCTTAATGACTTGTCTGGTGACCTTGTGAGATGTCGGGGTTTGATGACTTGAGGTTTTCCCTCTTGCGGTTGGATGACTTGATGGGGTGTCAAGGCTTGATGACTCAAGGGTTGGACCCTCAAGGTTTGATGACTTGGAGGGGGTGGCAAGGCTTTTTTTGTAGATTGAAACTCAAATTGTTCATGGAAACTTCCTAACTCATTTTTTGAGCTGCTGACAACAATCTTTTCCGTTTTATACACATATGTATGTATATATGTGTGTATATATTCTGTTTTGCTGGTGCTCTAAATACTCAAGGTCTGCTCATGGCTGCTAGGTCATGGTCATCTTTAGCTCTGTTGCTATGTTATATGCTTAAGGTATGCCCTATTGTTCTCAGTTTAACTGATGGTTGGGGCATTATGTTTTGTTTTCTTTTTTTCTTAGCTCTATGCTGTGATATTGTAGCCTTGCTTATGTACTCTTTTTTGGGAATTTGTTGGGTTTTTTTTTTTCCTTCCCCTTTGGCCTTGATGTGCATTTGGGCTCTGGGGTCATGCCCCTTGTAAAGATGTACATATATTTTTATTTTATATACACTTGAATTACCAAATAAATAAATATTAAACAAAATAGAACTGTAAAACGGAAACCAGCCAAATTAGGAATTGAAACTCAAAGTAACAAATTTAGACTGTTCTCTTTTTGTTTTGTATCATTGGTTGACTTCATGGACATTGATTAATGATCTATATATATATATATATATATGATTTAAATTGGCTTTTGGACAATTTGCTATTTGATATATAGAAAAGTGCTAGTTGCGGTGGTGATTTTAGCCACTTTAGTTCCTCATTCACTTAATAAGGTGGACTTTACCATGAAGTCAAGCCATTTGACATTTGAGGATTCACAGTTACTACAGTTGTGAATATTTAATAGTGGGCTTTTAGGTATAGAAGTTTCTCACAATCACAAGACACATAGAAGTAAAAATGAAAGCAAGAACTACGATAAACCTTAATACTGTAGGTCATCTAAGTCACAAGCAATGGACTACACTTTAACCTAGCTCACATTGTTCTTTCATGGCATACCCTCTAATGCCTTTGATAATTCTATTGAAGGGGAGAGGTGGGCTCTTGGGTTACGCTGAGCTCGTTTAGTTGAGTATACATGGAGTTGATAAAAGTAGTTGTTTCTTGCAATGGCTTCTCCATGGCGTCCTTCAATTTGCCTAGTGCCATGCAGTAAACTTCCTGCCCATTCAAACATTAGCCCACAATTAATATAATATTCGTGAATCTTCATTCAGTAACTTCATCCATATTTGATATATCTTTTTCATGAGAATAAGATAGTATGTTTTCATAATGTAACTGTATTTTCATATACTTTGTTTGAGATTGTGATCCCTCGGGTTAGCTACTTCACTCCAGATGTATTTTTCTCCTTTTTTTGTTTTTTGTTTTTTGTTTTTTAAAGGTTTCAATCTTGTTTAATTAAGGCTTTGATCAAAATTGTAAGTTCTTGAACAAAATAGGAAATAATGAAAGCAAAGTATTTGGGCTTATCTTGGCTCTTTTATCAGATTTATGGCCCAAAAAACTATCATGAGATCTAAATAATACCAACTTAAACATGGTCATCATCTCTTCTTCTTCTTTTTTTCCCTTTTTTTTTTTTTCTTTTTTTGGGTAAGTAAAGATATCAAGTTTATATTGAAAAATAAAGAATAAATGATGATTTCTACCATTTATTTTCAGCTAAAATTATGATCATGGTTCCAAAAATATAATAAGTCACATTCGGGTCAAACATTATGATGGAAACTATGATCAGTTGAGGATAAGTCATAACTGTCACATGAGTTTGGCTTATTGAGGGAACTCATAGCACAATGTATAACAATTATATATGTAGTTTAATGTTGAGTTGAGATGGTTAAAGAGTCATACCATAAAGTTATCGAGTTCTGAAGACCTGGGAATGGTGGCATTGAGCTCTGTATCAGCTTGATTCAAGGCAGTTATATCAACCTCCTCAATATCACCTAAGCACACCTGAAAGTCAATCTTGTTCAAAACACACACACATACACACACAGAGAAAGAGAGTTTTGTCCCTGTGACTGGTATGTCCAAATAACTATCAATCTAACCATGTGCTTGTAGACTAAGCTAGTGACAATCAACTCTATTTACGACCATCTACATGTAACATATGTGACCAAATTAACCTAAAACAAATATGATGTAAAAGGTTAATACAGTACTAGTACTATAAAATTAAGTTAGAAAGGCTACCCTAATAGTTAGGCAGTGTTCAAAGAAAAGCCTTATAGACCAAGAAAGTAAGACAATACATGAAGACACACGTTTCAGCAATGTCATAAAGATATATGGGAAAAGGAGACAAGGATCCTTTCTGCTTCTAATATTTTTTCAGGTCATCCAATCAGCAATAAATTAACTTGCGCCTCATAGTTTGTTACCCAAACAGACACACATCATCAGAATATTCCAAAATCTTTGTGTGTTTTTTTTTCTTCCACTTATGGGTATGGTCCAAGTATCTAACAATGGACCGTAAATGTGGTCCTGTTTAAACCCTATTGGCTTTTCCATGAACTGAAGTTCCTTCTAGATTCATACACAAGCAATTTCAAGTCATAAAAAAATACTCAACACGAGGAAAATTGATTTTGTGTCTTCGCTTGACTAATTAGTTTCTTTCATTAAATGAGGTGAACTTCAAGCAAAGCACGGTTTTGCCCTATTTGGGATTGAATCCTCAACCTCCCTTTCGAAAGTATATGTCATACCAGTTAAGCCAAGAACCCTGTATAACATCATTATGTTTCATATAGTAGAAAATGAAAGAAAGGAACCAACAAATATGAAAATGTGAAAATGATGTTATGCCAATTAAACTAAAAAAAACATATATATATATATAAGAAAATTATGAAGATAGAGATATGAACCTTCAAACAGTTCAAGTGTGTCTCAGTCAACAGTCCATACAGAGGATGCCCTAATATTCTCTTCTTTAGGGTCTCTGTATCTTCTTCTACACCTTCGCCTCCAAACCTCACACTATAATTCTCCCCACTTTTGCCTTCCATCTCTCTCTCTCTCTCTCTCTCTCTCTCTCCCCCCTCCACTCTCTTTCTCTCTCTCTCTATATAGCTATACTGGTCATACTTGCTCTCATTACCATATTTGGTTGTAACTCTTATTATATATGATTGTTTGCAAACAAATTGCAGTATATATGTACGTAAGGCTGGCAGAGTCTTTTCTATACTTGACCAATGCATGCAAAAGGAAGCTTTTGTGGTTCCACTTTTTTTTACCATAAAAGAAAGAACAATGCATGAGTCATTTTCAAGCCCTGATTAAAGATGCTTTTTGAAGCCACTTCAAAACTGATATTTTTTATTTAGTTACTGTTCTGGGAATTGAATTTTCTTAGTTCATTCTCTCAGCAACAGTTGTTTCACTGTTTATTGGAGAGCTTCTAGTTAGCGAATACTAAGTGGACAGTGGACACCCTTCTGAGTTTGCACTCAACGACAGCAGCATGGGGCTGAACCATTACTGTAATGTGGAGCCAAATATTGATATAAAAAAAAAAGTGTTTTGTGTACTGAATACTCGTGATATTTTATCCTGACCTTTCATATGACACACGACTGACACAGGTTATAATGTGTGTATGCACGACCCACTTACTTGTGATGTTTACATGGACGGACTCTTAATGAGGGAAATGGTTGTGTGGGACACACATTTCTCCAACATAGTACAAAATGCCAAGACTCGTTCTCACCTTGTTACTATTGTATGCTTAGTTGGTGGTTTAACCTTTTTTCAAAATGCGTTTTCCTAATTAGAGAGTGTTTACACATACAAGTGTCAACAAGTTCTTTCCCAAACGATGGGGAGCAATGAAACGTCACAATCACCCTCTTTGAAGAACCAGTTTTCTTACTGGCCTGACCCGCATGGATTTGTGCACGCACCACGGCTTCAAGATAGGAATCGACTCTGATATCATTTGTCATGTCCTTCCAAACTGTGTAAATATTGTTCACTTTGCACACTCTTCTCTCGGTATTCACAATTATTCTCAAAACCTGTCTATGTAAGTAAGGGGTATCCACACATATAAGTGCCAACATCACCCCCCACACGGATGAGACGGGACACAAAATATGTATGTGACACATTTAATTGAGTATGCACCTAAAATCGATGTTCCATAATTCAATTTTATTATATTATTGCTTCAAAAGGACTAAAATGTCGAATCCAACACAATGTTACATAATGGTAATATCTTATTATAAAAAATAAAATAAAATATTAAGTAATATAAATATTTAGCGGTGTGTCTATGTGTCAGCAAGTTTATACTCCTTAAACTTGCCAATGAAACTATGCAATCGAGGACAGTTAGTCAACAATACCATTTTAATAATCAATAAATGTGTCGTGTGCATTACACTCAACCACTTTAACACCAAAAATTTCAATTTCCGTATGCCAGAGGAGAATAAATTGCAACTTTTGATAAATTGAAAGTGTTTGCTTATAAAAAAAAAATAATAATAAAAAATACTTAAAAGGGTATTTTGCAACTTTTTGGTAGCACATTAAGGTTTAAGTGCAATTTAGCCTTAAAGTTAAGGTCGTCTCTTGCAAACACTCAAGTAGTACAAGGACATTCCATTTGCAATAAACCCTTTCCCTTACATGACATATATATTGCCATTAACCTGAGTTGACGAACTGTCCTTAATTGCAACTTTGTTGACAAACTGTCCTTAATTGCAACTTTTTGATAGTTTGAGTTAATTGCTTCAATAGGGGGATATTTGCATATTTTAGATAGTTGGGGGGCCTTTCTGCATTTTGCCCAATTATCTTTTAAAGTGTGAACTAAAAAGGACTTTGAGAGACCAAACTGGTGCCGCTCAAGTTTTCATCATTACATCATCAACCAATGAAATGGTCAGGGGCAACTTGGATTTTTCTTGGTCTGATATTTTGTTTCCAAATTCTTTAAATACTGCTTTTATTGTCAAAAAAAATTAATCTGAAACCTGTTTCAGATCACTAAATTAAATAAACCCCACACAGAATTTGAGGAAACACAATTATGACTGAGTAGCAGTTGACAGTCATTGACTGAAAAAAAAAATTGACTGGCTGGAGAAAATTTACATGATATTTCAAACTCGTACATCTGCAATTTATCATTCAAAAAATATACCAATCAAAAAGATAACAGCTAAAAAAAAAAAAAAATTCACACACACACACAGGCGCGCGCGCGTCTCCACAGAGGTTAGAACCCGGCCTCTTTGAGGAGTAAAAACTTGGTAAAGAAATAGTTTTCAAGATAATACACTTTCTATAACAAAACTAAAATGCACATGAGGAAGTGGAAGAAATCATATATGAACTAGAAATTTCAGTACAAATGGCATATTGCCTACAGTTAACAGTTGGGAGAACATTTTTACATACATGGATCAGCAAATATACATAACTATTTTTTTTTTAATTTTAATTCCTGTTGCATGGTTACAAAAATCTATGGTGAAAGTGTGCCAGTAGTTGTTGGGAACAACGACGTGAAATAAAAGAATATCTGCTGAGCATATGCACATGCATATCTTACCTATTATTCTGAGTATTGAAAGCTAAAAAGTATCCCAATCCAAAAGCCCTAATCCAAAGAAAATGATCCATCACAATACCTGCATAAGTGAGAACAAAATTCAATTATTCTTTCTTTGGATATTCGTAATTCCAAGTCAACCAGAACCATAAATGTATTTTCTAAATTCAGCGGATGGCAACCCGGAGTAACCCATGAAGCTTTTTGAAATAATTTTGAGGCAAGCAATTCAAAGTTTCAAACCAAACGGAATAGGGGGAAAATAAAAAATAAATAACGAGTAGAGGAGAAAATGCTTTATTTAACATTTTTGTTTTTTTGAAAATGATTAAAGACTTAGAGAAGGGGATAACTTTACAATATTCAGGACCTATCATGAAACATTATCGAGAGATACAACATAAAATCAAATTAGATATGCTTAACTTTAAGAATTTGGTTTATTGTTTTAACAGAAAACTTAGAGGCATCTTTTTAATTTTCGTAATCTTTGCTCCTTTCTTGTGATATAGAGCATGTAAATAATGTTATATGATGATTAAAAAATAATGGCGCAACCTGGGCCTGCTAAAAAGTAATAGTCTAAGGGCATTATATGGACCTAACTGAAGAGGCCTAATGTAATGGGCCGGGTATTCTAGAATTCTTTACAAACCACTATACAAATCTACAGAACTAAAGAACTCTCTAAACACTTGCAAACTAGGATGCCATGCAGTTGCCTTTTCATTATCCAGTAACCACTTATGTGGCACCTACGTGGCGTAGAGACTTATTGGGTCGTGACACTAGGCCACTATTAATAACTATGAGCTAACAAACTATTTTCATATTTGGCCCGCACTTTCCAAATTTTCTTGTTCTTAATAATTTATTTAGCCAATACATGGCACTGGACTTTCGGTTGGTCTATACTCCCTTCCAGAATCAATTTCAATAGGTCATTTTGATATTTATCCAATGTTAATAAAATGCTGACTTTTTTTTCTTTCCAAAATGGAGCATTTACTACTATAAAGTACAAGATCACAAGTATGCTTCCTATGGAGATTCGTGATTTCAAGTCAGCCAGAAACATGAATATACTACAAATTCTAAATTCGAGAATAATTTGCGGATGATACACAGGAGCAAGTCGAGAAGCATTTTAAAATACTTTAAAAGGGCAAGCAATTCAGATCAAATGGGACAGGTTAAGGAGAATATGCATTATTCAACCCTTTTTGAGAATAATTAAGGACTTGAGACAAAAGGGCAAATCTGCAATATACCGCAAGCTATAATTGCTGATGTTGAATGGAAGAAATCACCAAATCATCACAAACTATCATCACAACTCTTGTTATGTATCTAATCAATGAGTTCAATGGGTTTTGAAACTATTTATTTTCCTTTCCATCATAAGAAGATACTGAGCGATACAATTGTTGCCTTTAAAGAAGATATTGTTCAAGCGAGACAATTGTTGCCTTTTTATTAAGGGTGGCAATTTGCACCGACCTGATTGGTTCCCACACTGCATTTGGACTGGTTTGAGATGCTTTTGAACGGGATAGGGGCTGGGATGAGATAAAGAGTTATAACCCGAAACAGGTTTGGGCTGGGAATGAATACATAGATTTTCTGCCCCACTCCGCTTATATAGTAAAATTTAATATATATCCCTCATTAATTTAAGATTCCTTAAACACCCTTAGATGTCTCTCTCACTTCATTAACCTAACCCTAATCTCATTCACTCCTTCATTTCATTAACCTAACCCTAATCTCTTCCCATACAACCACTCTTGCGCACACAAAACTATACTCTCTCCCACACAGCCAGCATCCTCCAATGAGCTACGGTCAATTGTATTCATAACCGATTCTCACGCTCCGACACACAATGGTCAAGCGCAAGGGATCAAGGTAAGGTCTCTCTCTCTCTCTCTCTCTCTCTCACGCTCCGACACACTCCATGGTCAAGGTTCTTAGATTTGTTCTTGGGACAGGGATTGGACTGTGGCTAAGAACCTGGATGGTAGAAGACATTTTATTTTTAGACAGGTTTGGGTAGCCCAGTAGGGTTTAGGCAAACCCATCCAAACCCGCTACATTGTCATCTTTACTTCTTGTACAACCATGACAGCCTTGACTGGGTCATGTTGGTCAGTAAATTACCAGTTTCTCAGTACAATAATGTAAAAGAAAGTAAAATAAGGTTAGGATAGGGTAATTTTGGCTATACCAGCTAATCCATTCTAATTAAAAGGCTTGAAGTGCACTCAAGAACTATGGTTTCTGGGGCCTAAGCACAAGGCGCGACATAAGGCGCAGGCCTGTTTGAACTATAAGCCATGGGTCTTGCATTTTGAATATAACAAGTAGAAGGAATCTGGCCACAGATTTTATGCAGAGCTTGTTCTTGTTATTATTTCCTCTGAACAGAATTCTAAACATTTGGACAACAAAAGACACATAACAGAAGTACTATCATCAAAGCATAAGAAAAATGTATTACCTGTTACTAAATTTCTCCATGGCATCAGAAGCATAGAGAAGAGTCTCATTGGCTCTCTCTAGAACCATATAAAGCTCCTTCCCTCTTGTAACGCGAGCAATCACCCAAGCATTGTTTTTTGCTCTGATGCATATTTCCAAATCTTTCTCACATCCTGGGCCATCCCATTTTGCACGGCTCTTTTCCAAATCAACCTCTTCTCGAAGATTACTCAAGGCAACTAAAGACTCCTGCAAGAAAAGAGCAGCAAAATGAACTAATTAATTAAGAGCATGTGCTGCAAATTAGTTCTGCTAGCCATTTGCCTACATTTTTTGGTATATTTTTTATTCTGAACATGTTAAAAACAACTACCTTCCTCAGTTCTTTTTCCCTCTTATATTAGTAAGACCAATCTGTTTTCTACCCAGGACTTGAACCATGCACCTCATATCTCAAGCGTGATTGAAGATGCCAGTCAAGCTAACAGCAACTAATTCTCTCAGTAGTCCTTTTCTTCTCCTCACCAGCCAAAAACAATTCTGGCACAATTCCAGAATGTTATTTCTCCTCTCCCATATATGGGGCAATGTTACATGGACTCTTGAAAAGTAAAGTACCCGTGTCGGACATGGGTTTGGGATGTGTGTGACACTTTTGGTTCGACATGCACTTAACAAACACATCCAATAATTCAATTTTATTATACTCATTTTTTTTTTTTTTTTTTTTTTTTTTTTTTTTTTTTAAGTAAAAGATTGTATAAAAAACGTCCAAAAGGGAAACGCATCCCTCAAAAGCTACACAAGGCCAAATAGGGCCTCTCAACCCTCAAAGACTCCAAAAAATCTACAAGCTCCTCCAAGGATTTACAATATCTCCCTAGAACCCAACAATTTTATTAGACTATTACTTCAAAACGAGTGAAATATTAATATTAAACCCAATGTTACACATTATTTTACACTAAAAAATATAATAAAATTATTAAATAATATGACCATTTAGCAGTTTTCATGTGTCCTATGAATTTGACACATCCGACGCGTGGATACATACCCATACCATTTTTGTCTTTTTGTTTTTTTTATAAATAAAATGTATTAGAAAGTGTTTAAAAGGGGAACGCATCCCAAGAAATATATAAGAAACCAAACAAAAGACCTATGAACCCAAAGAACCCAAAAAGTCAACAATCTCATCTAAAGACATACAATTTCTCCCCATCACTCAACTAAAAAGAAAACTAATAATACCAAATTTCAGCGCCCCAATGGAGGTTTCCTCCCCATCAAAAGATTTTGTTTCGCTCTTTCCAGATGCTCCACCAAACACGAAGGGGGGTTACCCTCCAACAAACACGAGCATGGCCCCCCACCCTTTGGACATCCAAATATCAATCCATTCCCTTGAAGACTGAGGCATAACCCAATGGATGCCAAAAAGACCAAAAATAAGACTCTAGCAATTATAAGCCATAGGACAATCCAAGAGAAGGTGATCCACAGACTTCTCCATCATTCTTACACATACAACACCAGTTGACTGTGATCTGTCTTTTCTTTCTCAAATTGTCCAGAGTCAGAATCTTACCGAAAGCTGTAGTCCAAACAAAAAATGCCACCCTGAGAGGAGCCTTCGAAAGCCAAACCGTCTTCCACGGGAAACTAGAGCCATTAAAACCGGCGAGGCAAAGGAATAAAGAATGGACACCAAACCTCCCTTGAGGAGAAGGCATCCAAACCAAGGAGTCAGACCCTCTACCATCCACATCCTGTCTATACAAAAGATCCAAAAGGTCAAGGACATCCTCATGTTCCCAATCCTAGAATGAACGCCAAAAACGCACATCCCACATAAGCCTTTCTCTATCAAGCCGATAACAGTCCGTTACCATAGCATGTCTATCCGCAGCAATCCTAAAAAGTCTTGGAAACAACCGAGCCAATGGGCAATCCCCACACCAATAATCCTCCCAGAACCAACATCCCTGCCTTCCCGAACTTTGAATATACTATGCTTAGACAGCTCGTCCCAACCCTTACGAATAAATTTCCACACTCCCACGCCAGCAACAGATCTAACCGGTCTGGATGACCATCCCCCTCTCTCCTCCCCAAAGCGACACGCTATAACCCTCCTCCATAAGCGATGTCTCTCACTACCAAATCTTCATAACCACTTCCCAAGAAGCGCCCTATTAAAGGGGATCATCCTCCCAAGACCAAGACCAAGACCGCCCATTTGAAATGGCCTGCAAACATGTACCCACCTGACAAGATGATACTTGAACTCCTCACCCCTTCCACCCCAAAGAAAATTCCGTTGGAGATTCTCCAGTCTATCAGCAACAGTGCACAGGATCTGAAAGAGGGATAGGAAGTATGTTAGATTCTTTATCAAAGTGACTTCCCACCCTTCGAAAGATATTGCTTCTTCCATCCGGCCAATCTATTCTTGAAACGCTGAATCACTGAATCCCAAACATCCACCCTCTTGGTCGAAGCACCCAAAGGCAAACCCAGTTAAGTAATCGGAAAGGACTCATCCCATATCCTAGAACCGCCGCAAGCGAAGTCACCTCCGGAACCTCCCCCACATGGACAAGCACACTTTTACCCACGTTAACTTTCAACCCTGACACAGCCTAAAACCAGACCAGCACGCATCTTAAATATCGAAGTTGGGACACATCCGCATCACAGAAAACCAAAGTATTATCTGCAAAAAGTAAATGAGAGATATCCATCTGTTGCCCTGAATCCGGGCCCATCCTGAAACCCCTGATAAAACCCAACTCCACTGCTCTCCTCATCAATCTGAGGGCATCCATAACAATAAGAAATAAGAAAGGAGAAAGGGGATCCCCTTCTCTCAACCCTCGAGAGCTTCCAAAAAAGCCGGATGGGGACCCCATTCACCAGTACAGAGAATTTAACAAAAGAAATACAAGTATCGATCTACTTCCTCCATCTCTCCCCAAAAGCCATCCTCCCCAACAAATATAATAGGAAATTCCAATTAACATGATCATAAGCTTTCTCAATATCGAGCTTGCACAGAACTCCTGGAATACCGCTCCTCAACCTAAAATCCACACATTCGCTGCCAATTAGAGCGGAATCCAGAATCTGCCTTCCCCAATAAATGCATTTTGAGACTCTGCGATGACACCGTCCAAAACCTCCCTCAATCTCAAGGCGAGAACTTTAGCAATAAGCTTATAAATGCAACCCAATAAACTTCTTGGTCTAAAGTCCTTAACATCGGACACAACTCCTTTCTTAGGAATGAGAGTAATGAAAGATGCATTCAACAACTTTTCGAACCTCCCATTAGAATGGAATTCATAAAAGGTACCCATCACCTCACATCTCACCACCTCCCAGCTTTCCAACAAAATCTCATAGTAAATCCGTCCGGACCTGGAGCCTTATCACCGTTGCAACTCTTCAGCGCCCTCAACACCTCCTCCTCTGAAAAAGGATATTCCAAGCCATCCCTATCAATCGAAGAAATTGAGTCAAAGTGAAGGCCATTAAGACGAGGTCTCCACTATAACAGCTCAGAGTAGAGCCTCAGGTAAAAAGAAGCAATCCCCCTACGCACCTCCTCCTCCGTACACAACTCCACTCCATCCACATGAATCCTCCCAATGTAATTGCCCCTTCTGTGGGCATTGGCAAGTCTGTGAAAAAACTTCGTATTACGGTCTCCTTCCTTATGCCAAAGAGCTCGAGATTTTAGGCGCCACAAAATCTCCTCCATAACAGCAATCTTTGCAATCTCCGCTCGACAACCTGCTCTTCTATCCCGCTGGGAGTCAATGATACCACCCCCCTCTTCCAACCGATCAATCCCCAGGATCTCAGCAAAAGCCCTATTCTTTCTCCACTCTAAGTTTCCAAAGACCTCCTTATTCCATCTTTTAAGCTCCATCTTAAGAAAACAAAGCTTCCCAATCAAAATGAAGCTCTGAGTACCCACCACAAAGGCTTCCGCCCACCAACCCTGCACCTTTCCTTGAAAATAATCCGATCTCGGCCACATGTTCTCAAATATGAAAGGAGTGCACCGAGGCCTCAAACCTCCACAATCCAAAACCAACGGAATATGATCAGAATTCACCCTAGCCAAAGCAGCCTGAACCACATCCGAGAACTTCTCCCACTCACCAGAGATCAAGAATCTATCCAAGCGTGAGAAAGTGGGCGAGTCCCTCCCGCTGGACCACGTAAAAGCAGTGCCCTCAAAAGGAAAATCAATGAGATAATGCCCATCAATGAACTCCAAAAACTGAAACATAGCCGAAGACCATCTACCACCTGTAGACCTCTCAGAAGGCGACTCAACCACGTTGAAGTCCTCGGCAACACACCAAGGAATAGACCGCGTCTGTTTCACAGCACCGAGCTCATCCCACAGCACACCTCTCATTATCCTCCACAGGCCTATAAACACCAGACAATGCCCAATTAAAACCATCGTCCTCTATCACAAAGGCACATGAGATGGAGAATCTCCCTCTCCACACCTCCACCCTTGTCATCCATCTCCTATCCCACATGATAAGAATACCTCCAAAGGCCCCTATAGCATCCAACACCTCTCATTCAACAAACCTGCTGCCCAAAGACTCATAACCGCCCTATCCGTCATCACAGCAATCTTCGCAAACAAACCACATGAGCTCCCCATTTTCTCACTGCCAACTTCACAACCTTCCTCTTGTCCGAGTCATTGAGGCCCCGGACATTCCACGAAATAAGTCGTAGCATCATGAGGAAACAGTATCCAACACCCCTCCAACACCCCCCTACCCTCCCTCCCCTTACGCCTCTCCAACACCCCTATCATAATTAACGTCGGAGAAACGATTTCTCAACTCCCTCTCCCCTTTCCAAAGGGGGGGCATTCCTCTTTCTACGACCCCCCTTCCTAGACTTCTTCACCTCCCTTTCTCTCCCCTCCCCCGTTGCGTGAAGGATTGCCAATGTGTGGTTCCGATTACCATTGAAGGAAACCCTGTTCACTAACAACATCAATATGATCATTCACCCACTCCTTTCCTTCATTAACACAATCCTGTCTAACACCATCCGTCACCACACTTTCCAATCTCACCACAGTCAAGGGCTCAACCACCCCTAAATTTGGATGTCCCTCCTCAGCCCACACAATCATATCCAAAGCCCCACACTGTTTATCCCTCAACACCTCTCTTACTCCATCCTCCATCTCCTCCTCCTCC